CAAAAGTATACATTTTTATAAGGCATAACATGAAAGAGGGACCAAGAGGGTTGGGAGGAGGTGGAGAAATGGAAGGGGTTTCTATAATTGGTACACATTCCTGCTAATTCACTTCTCCAGGTCAGATACTCTCCTTCCTAAGAACAGACATCTCATTTAGAAATACTGTAATTGTAAATTGGAAGGAATTCTAACGGTCACCCCCTCCGCCTCCCTTGTTCATTCTTGCCTGAATAAGCAAAACATTCCTATAGCAAAGCAAGTGACAGAAAGCGAAACGGCTATGGTTAGGCTAAGATATATTTTATATGTACTGTATTTACTGGACCCCTTCAAAGAGGAGACAAGGCTGACTGGAAAAGAGGAAGACCAAATGGGAGAGGGACGGAGCCCATAAAGGAATCCCCGTTCTTGCTTTTGCAGTGCTCAGCAGCAACCATTGATTAGAAGCCTTTTTGAAGGTCTCTTAATTCAAAGTGTTGCCATGAGGGTGAAGCAGATAACAAAAACTACAACTACTACAAGAACAACAAATCCTGGAGTGAGCTAAACATACTGAGCCCAGAACATGCTGAGAACCTTCTCTGGGGCAAGGGATAGCATGCCGGATGGTATTCGCCTACTTACCTTGGGAAACAGACTGTGACCAGAACTGAAACGTCAATTGCAATTTCCTGTGGATGGCTGAAATCCTGTTGCTTAACATCCTATGTTGCACAAGAGTGGCTCACTGAAGCAAGTGGGGATCGGGAGAGTCAACTCCTCTGTAGGGCCAATGGATTCAGATGGATCTACTTGAGTCGCTACTTGTTTTAGCAAAGGAAGCAACAACTAAAATACTACACTAGGGGCATTCGAATCAATGGAACTTATGCAGTGGACTCACCAAAACCCTACTGATTCAATGGGCCTACTCTAGCACAACTTACTACACTACGCCAAAAGATTTAAGCCATTGCGTGCGTTTATGCTGTTTATTTTTTGAAATCCCCTCAGACATGGACAACATGCGGAAGCTCAGAGAATGAATGAATAAAAACAGGAAGGTTAGTGATAAAAATATGAAAATGAAAACATCAAAGAAAAAAACCCTTCTCAAATGCTTTTCCCCTTAGAAAAAAAATACTTACTTTATACCTGAATCTCTCTTTTGCTCTGATCTACAAACTCCAGACTTCCTTGCAAATCTTAGGGTAATTCTTGGCAGATGGTTCAATTTCAAGGTGGGAATGTGAGCATGATAAAAGCAAAAAGAGAAGAGTTGCAATTAGTAATGAGTCACCAGCAGAAGGAAACACAGACTTCCAGACCACCATCACCACCTTAGCCAGATATTGGGGCTGGCTTTTTTTCTGTTTCTTGCTGCTAGAAATTCTCCCCCTGAGTCCTCTTTTGATTCCTTTCCTCCATATTTTCTGCTTCTCTGTAGCTGGATTGTGAGCTTTCCTGGGCAGTTGGGAGTCACCTTGGTAAGTAAGAGGAAAAAATAGGTGAAACGGAGGAGATAACTTTGCAGTGGGTGAATATTGCCACACTGAGACCGTCTATATGTGCCCCAAACTTGTGGTGGGGCTGGAGACAGTATTCAATTCTAAGGATGCCCCCTTCGGATTTTTTTTTTTATTCCAGTTCCCAGAATTCCTGAATCTGAGATTTCTGTTTCAGAGACACATACCTTCAGACACATGTGTTTTCTTCATCTCTAGCAGGGCTTCTTACATCATTCATTTCCTGTTGCAATGCCTCCTGGGCGTAATCTTACAGCTCTTTTGCTTCTATATAGACTGTGCCTTCCAAAAACTACACTGCCCTGGGATTTGGGGGGGTGCAGGAACTGGAGATTTTTGGGCAGCCTCTGAAGACTAGGCCTTGAGGGAAAATGCAAGGTGTCTGAAATTGTTGACTGGGACTACCAAAATTCTTCCAGAGGAGGAATTCTGCAATAATTTGGGGCGCTGGAGTGCAGGAAATCCAAATTCCACATCCTGATTATTTTCTCTTAATGGGGTAAGGTGCTATAATTATGGCTTCCGTCTATAAAGAGCTGAATTAGATCCTCCCTTCGAAGGCAAAGGAACTCATAACTGAGGTTAGGGCTGGTGTCCCGACTGTTACTCTAAAAAGCTTCTGCTCTGTTGTTAAAGGTGACAGATGAAGGTTGACCTTTGATCAACACCCATGGAAGGAGAGGCTCCTCTTCAGGATGAACAGAAGCAGCTACAAGCAGGAGCCAACCAAAAAGAGGATGATGCAGATGATCCTTTTTTTTCCCTTATACAGGCCCTTCGGAATCTAGAAGGTATATATATATAGAGAGAGTCTTTCCTCCTAGGGCTTGGTTTACAGTCCCCTGATCACCCTTGTTGCTCTCTTCACAACTGGCTCCAGCTTGTTGGCATCCCTCTTATTCAGTCTGTGATCTACAGCAATTCCAAAATCCTTTTCTCTCATAATATTACTGAGCCAAGTATCCCCCATTTTGTAACTGTTCATTTGTGGGGTTTATTTAACGTAGATGTAGAACTTTGCACTTATCCCTGTGAAAGTTCATTCTATTGTCCTAATGCTGGAGCTTATCAAGATCTTTGTCAATTTTGTTCCTGACTTTCAGGGTATTACCACTCTTTTGTTAGCCACTGAAACTCTTGTGCTAAACCTAAAAACTGGCCTCCCGGACCAAACTGTGGGAGGCAATGGAAGACAGGAGGGCCTGGAGTGCTCTGGTCCATGGGGTCACGAAGAGTCAGACACGACTTAACGACTAAACATCAACAACAAATTTTAGGAAAGGAATATGAGAAAGATTTCCTGAATACGAAACAGGTTGGTGAATGCAATAAACTTTCTTCTCTGGCACCTTTTCCCACTTCAACCCACTAGATCCTCTATTCACCATTAATTTTCTCCTTCGAGCAGATGAGGGAAAAGAGAAGGAAGTGAGACTCCAGGGAACACTGCCAGAAAAAGGGGAGGATGAAAATGAGAACTGTGGGGATGGAAAGGAATCACTGAGACAGAATCTGGAAGACCAGAGGATAGACAGATTTCAGAGATATCTGAGCAGTGTTGCCTCTGAAGACGAAATGGGAAAAACAACAAACAGGAGCATCAGTGCTCTTCAAAGCTCAGAGTATGAACAAAACGTCTCTCTGAGGAAAAGACCAGTGAAATGTCCAATATGTAACACTGAGATAAATCTGTGTCACTGTTTGGAGGATGGAGAAAGTTTCAGATGGAGCCCAGAAGATACAAGATTTCACAAAGGGGAGAAACACAAATGCATTAGCTCTGACCTTAAAGCACCTCAACCAATGCATTCTGAAGAGAAAATCTGCAAGTGCATAGAGTGTGGCAAGAGCTTCAAGGGAAGTCCAGAACTTAAAAGACATCAAAGAATACACACAGGAGAGAAAGCATACAAATGTCCTGAATGTGGAAAGGCCTTCAGGCACAATGCACACCTTCAAGTACATCAGCGAATTCATACAGGAGAGAAACCCTATGAATGCAAAGAATGTGGGAAATGTTTCACTCATCTCTCAACTATTAAAGTACATCAGCGCCAGCATTCAGGGGAGAAACCATATTCTTGTAAAGAATGTGGGAAATGTTTCAGTAATCCCTCAGCTTTTAAAGTACATCAGCGCCGGCATTCAGGGGAGAAACCATATTCTTGTAAAGAATGTGGGAAATGTTTCTCCCAGAACAGTGATCTTCAAGTACACCAGCGAATTCATATGGGAGAGAAACCCTATAAATGTGAGGACTGTGGACGGGCCTTCAGATACAATGAACATCTTCAAGTACATCAGCAAGTTCATACAGGAGAGAATCCCTACGAGTGTAAAGAATGTGGGAGGAGTTTCAGCGAAATTGCAAATCTTGTAATACATGAACGAATTCACTCCGGATTAAAGCCCTATATATGTAAAGAATGTGGGAAATGTTTCTCCCAGAACAGTGATCTTCAAGTACACCAGCGAATTCATACGGGAGAGAAACCGTATAAATGTGAGGAATGTGGACGGGCCTTCAGATACAATGAACATCTTCAAGTACATCAGCAAGTTCATACAGGAGAGAATCCCTACGAGTGTAAAGAATGTGGGAGTAGTTTCAGCGAAATTGCAAATCTTGTAATACATGAATGAATTCACTCCGGAGAAAAGCCCTATATACGCAAATAATGTGGAGAATGTTTCACTCGTTCCTCAAATTTTAAAGTACGTCAGTACTGTCATTCTGAGAAGAAGCCATGTTCTTGTGATGAATGTGGGAAATGCTTCTGCCAGAGCAGTGATCTTAGCCTTCAGCAGCAAATTCATATAGCAAATAAAACCCATCAGTGCATTGAATGTCGGAAAAAGTTCAGCTACAAGTCAAACCTTGTAGTACATCAGCGAATTCATACAGGAGAGAAACCGCATAAATGTGAAGAATGTGGGAGGAGTATTAACCAAATCGGAAACCTCATAATACATCGACAAATTCATTGAGGAGAAAAACCCTATCATTGCAAAGAATGTGGGAAAAGCTTTAGGCATCTCACAAATTTCCAGAAACATAAACACTCACAGTCAAGGGAGAAGCCCTATTGTTGTGAATAACGTGAGAGGAAGTTCAGGAAATACTCAAACCTCACAGGACATCAACAAATTCACTCAGGAGAAAAACGCTGTGCAGTTAAATCAGCCTTAACAGACATTTTAAAAAAATCACGCTAGGGAGAAACCATATAAATGTGAAGAGTGTGGGGAGAGCTTCCGCCAGAGCAAAGATATTGGAGAACACAGTGAGAATCCTTTTGAATGTCTAGAATGTGGAGAAAGCTTCCATTGTAGAGCCTAGCACATCAGACATCGACAGAGGTACAGAGACGAGAAACTTTGAAACCGGCTTGAGATGGCCTTCTTAAACTGTGGCTTCA